CGAGTTAAGATGGTCTAAAAAGAGCATATTATTTGAACTTAAGTATTGGTCTTCTCTGGCGCTAAAGCACAACTCCGATCTTATGCATATTGAAAAAATGTAGGTCAGAGTCTTTTGGGTACTTCTCTCATGAATGATAAGTCTAAAGACACATCAAATGCTCGGGCGAACTTGACAAAACTGAACATTCGGAAAAGTCAATGGTTGAAAAAGAGTGGCAACAAGTTCCTTAAGCCTCATCCACCTTGCTTGTTCACGAAAACTGATCGCATTCATTTTTGTAAGTTTATAAGAGATGTGAAACTGTCAGATGGGTTTGGATCTAACATCAGTAAGAAAGTGAATGAAAACAATACTAACATTATTGGGCTGAAATCTCATGATTATCACATTCTTATGCAATGTTTGATATCCATTGGAGTTACAGGGCTTTTGTCCATAGGTATTTATACACCAATAGTAGAGTTATGTACATTTTTTAAGCAACTTTGCTCGAGAACACTATCGGTGAAGGATATGAAAGAAACGAAAGCAGCCATTATTAAAATATTATGCAAATTAGAATTGATCTATCCTCCTGTGTTTTTTGACATTATGGTTCATTTAGTTTTGCATTTACCTGATGAAGCTATTTGCGGAGGCCAGGTATGCATGAGATGGATGTATCCCTTAGAAAGGTATATGAAAAAACTAAAAAACTATGTCAGAAACAAGGCGAGGCCGGAAGGTTCTATAGTTGAGGGTTATGTCGCTGAAGAGACATTATCATTTTGTTTGATGTACCTTGAAGATTTCGAGACTCGATTCAATCGCTTCGAAAGAAACGAAGATGTTGTCATAAAAGAAATAAATTTATGGGTGTTTCGGTCTAAGTGTCGACCGGCTAGCGCAAAGAAAATGAAAAATCTCAGTCTAAAGGAGAGAAAACATCTACAATGGTTTGTGCTTGATAGTTGTGACGAAGTCAGAAAGTATATTATGTAAGTGTTCTTATCTTTTAGTTCATTGTTTGTTTTTAGTTTCTCCTTTTTTTTACTAAATCTATATATTTTTTCTATCAATATGGTGAATTCAAATTATTACATCATGAAAGTGATGAAAAAACTGAATTCCCTAAATGGTTCGTTCACAAGGTCTATGATATGCAAAAACAAAAATCTCCAGAGTTTAACAAGGAGTTATCGGCTCTTTCAATTGGTGCACATGCGAATGAATTTACTTACACCGCTTTCATAGTGAACAGTGTTAGGTTTATGGTACTTATGTGTGACACCCAACGATCAACACAAAACTCGGGGATTCTAACTGAGGAAGAGAATAAGAAGAAATATCATGGTCAGCTAGAAGAGATTATCGAGCTACATTATCCTCATAATTATTCCGCTGCACTTTTTCGTTGCAAGTGGTTCGATACCGCAGGAGTTAAATCTGATAATAATTTCACCAGTATCGACCCACGATGCGAATTGAGTAGTGAAGATCAACTCATATTTGTTATGTAGGCCAAGCAAGTATTTTACATTCGAGAACCTTCTCTGAGTGACGAAAATGATGATCAGTGGTGGGTTGTTGAAAATGTTAACCATAGAAGAATTTTGGATCTACCGATGAACGATGTCGACCATGATTCCATTGAAAAAGTCGGTAATGATTCAACTAATGTCGTTCTTAGTAATGCTTCTTCTAATTTCACTATTTTAATCGGCTTTAGCCAGTACTTTCAAAATTCCCAATAATGTGTCTGACTATGAGACTGGTTATGATGAGGAGGATTCCGATTATGATAAAACAAGGTTTGTATTTGTTGTAATCATATCATATTGTATGTATACATATTCATACTGTGTTATAATTTTTCAGGATGTAAATTTTTTTGGATTGCATTGCTCCATATCATGGCTGCTATGATGGGCCATGGAGGTAGACCTGGCAATTTCATACACGACACGGACATGATACGAGTTTTCTGTGTATGTGTTTTATAAATTCGTGTTTCGTGTTTATTTGTGTCTGACACGTATTTTAATTTCGTGTTTCGTGTCTTACACGTGTCAAACACGAATTTACCTGTTTAGACACGTATAAGACACGATACAAATTCGTGTTGACACGTGACACGTATAAACACATGTATACTTTAGAGTTAAATTTTGTATTTATAATATATTATGGACCAATTTTGTAAAATTCAATAACTAGTTTATGGCCATTGCTTAAAAAAACCATTAAAAACGTGTCTATTCGTGTTTTCGTGTAACACGGATAAAAACGTGTCTATTCGTGTCGTGTCACGTGTCACACGATTTTTTACGTGTCGTGTTCGTGTTTGATACCCCAAACACGTTTTATAATTCGTGTCGTGTTCATGTTTAGCAAATTCGTGTCGTGTAAATTCGTGTCTGACACGAATACACGACACGCAGACACGGATTGCCAGGTCTACATGGAGGTGACAGTGGTGACAAGCCACCACATCCGTTCCATGGAGGTTTTGGTGATCAGCAGATCGATGATAATTATGATTTATTCTAATTCATTGTATTTCATAGTGTATGTGTATAAAAAGTTATCTTGAATAATATTTTTTATGCAGCCGTACCACCAAAACGAAGAGACATGTCAGTAAACAAAAAAAATGTACAAGTTATTTGCAGCTAACGGCAAACGGCCTCTGAAGATAGTATCCGACAGAAATACTCACATACCGATTGGGGAAGTATACAAATGCTTCATTCGGGAGGTTGGGAGATATATGTGGCGCGACATCGCTTTCGATAAGGTCACATGGAAAGAAGTTTTTGAAGCCGAAAGGGTTGCCATGTTCCAGTATCTTTCGGTAAATTATTTATAAAGTTATATTTAATATGTTTATTTTTTATTTATTTTTAGCTTCTCTATTTTTTTGTATATATGGTTTGATTTTGGAGCAATTTTAAATGTTCCACAGGCTCCATTTTATTGGGCGTCACTGAACAATCAGATATGTATGCGGTATAGAGACCGCAAACATGTTACAAAAACCCGTTTTACTAATTTTGAAGGGATGTGGAGGAAGCAAGGGCTCAAGCCCCTGATGGTATGCATCCTCAGCGTTGGAGTGATACTATTGACACTTCTTAACAGATAAGCATAAAAAACGATCCACTGAAAATAAAGATTGTCGATAGAAGCAAGTACTTAAGAATCGTGGAGGGACGTGCGGCTATGGTAGTGCTTTTTTAATAACGTAAGTTACAATAATGTTTATTAAGTAATAACATATTTTTAATGTTTATTCAAGTATAACATATTTTGTAATGTTAAACAAAATTTGAATAGACTTGAAGCATTTCACTATGGCCATGTGAATAAACAAGGGGAATTTGTTGATCCGTTAGTTGAAGACCAATATGTAAGTTTTTATTACTTAAAAATGAAGTAGATTGTTTTTTTGTGTTATTTATAAAGTATATTGACAATCTTCGTGAAATACATAATGTTTTAGTTGTTGAGGTTGCTTTACAGACTCAGCACATAGCCGACTCCGGTGGTGATCCAGACTCCATTGATTGGATTGCAATATTTAAGAAGGTGTTAGATGCTCGAAGGGGGCACGTGAGAGGCATTGGGCCTAAACCTCCTTCTGCAGCGGGTACAAGTGTTTCATCCCAATGGCAGTCACAGTCACAAGCACCGCAACCAACACATGTACTTGATGCATTTATAGTAATTTTTTGTAGTGTGGTAGTTTATTAGATTGTTAAAGACTTAACTGATTTGGTGGTTTAATAGTTTGTTAAATTGTTAACGATTTAATTCATTTAATGGTTTGATAGTTTGTTAATTGTTAATGACTTAATATGCTTGTGACTTAATTATAGGATGTGGATGTGAATGCTTTTCTTCAAAACTCGGCGTTTGTGACGATAATTAGAGATATATATTATCCATTCGTTTAAGAACCAAGTTAACAACGATGGGGAAGACGAAGACACCTACTATTTCTTGTTTTATGTTATGGATGATGTTATTTTAGATTTATTAGATAGTTTATGGATAATATATTTAAGGTTTATTTTGGATTTATTAGATAGTTTATGTAATGTGGTATATTTGATGTTTTATGTAATGTGGTATGTATTGTCTTATGTTATTTGATGTTTTATTAAATGTGGTATGTATTATTTCTGTATTTTTATAAAATCTGCATTTTATAATATATAAAGTAGTATAATATAAAAATTATTTAAAAAAAAACATTAGGGGCAACAGCATTTGCGACGACACCAACCTCCGGGAAGTCTTGCCGGAAAAAGCTTCTACCGGTGGCCGGAATACTAATAGAGGTGACTCTAATAGCGACGACAGAGCCTTTTAGCGACGACACGTATTGGAGACGATAGTAATTGCGACGACAATTGAGGATTAGCTAAGAGGTAATAGCGGCGACCCTTTAGCGACGACGATCAGAATTAATAGCGATGTTTTTTGTCGTCGCTAACGGTAAGGTTTTTTGTTGTGCCCAATCACAAGTTCCGCCGTTTACTTGTCATCAATCCCACCCCCGATCCCGCCCCAGTTTTCCCTAAATCCCCCGTAAACTTTGTTTAACCCAAAATACCTTGCTTAACCTTATTTATTATAATTTTAACTCATTTATTTCGATTAGTTTACATATTACACTAGTTATTCAAATATAAAACATAAGGGTGTGCAAAAGAAACCGCAAAACCGAGTCGATTCGGCCAATCCGAAACCGAAAAAACCATGTACTTACAGGCCGGTTTCAATTTGGATGTTTAGATAACCGAGGATATCCGAACTCAACATCCATCCCCGCCCAAGAAACTAAATAAAGGTAAACCCCAGCCCCGAAACCGAGAACATTGTAAAAATATTCGTGTAGGGGCCGGTCCCACGGGGTATGTCTTGAAGTATGTCTTGAAGTCACGTGGATAGCATACGCAACCAGTAGAGCAGATTATCTCCCTTTTAAAAGAGATCAATAACCCCTTTATGTTCCATTTGCTTGCCACTGTAGCTAGCTTGCTAGCCATCCTCTTTGCAAATCTATCATCTCTTGAATTATTCTCGAACTTCTAGTTTTACCGTGTGTTTCTTGATCGATTTACAGATGACCCCAATCTTCTTGAATTCCTCATTTACCTATTATTCACCATACCCGAATGATTTCCACCATGAAGATCACCTTAGCAACCAATACTTGAGCCCTAATTCTCAAGCCTCTTCGTCTTTGAATTCGCACACGGCTAATATGTTCTTAAACTCGACCGTTCATGATCAAAATAGGATTTTTGATATGGAATTATATTCTCCACAACACCAACATGAGGTAACTTAGCTTGATCGATCATGTATTATCCTCCAAGCGTCCCAAAAAGAGTTCTGTTTGATTCTTGATATTCATCTGTTTCTCAAAATGAAAACGTTTTAGCTCTACACACCGATTTTTGTGTGTTTCAGTCCATTTTAATTTGTGGTTTTCAGTCCTTTCTAGTTCGTGGCTAATTTGATGGTTCTTTCTTGAAATCCAATCACCATATCGAGCTTTTCTTTTTACTTCATTTGAAATGATTGATTAATTTGTATCTCTTATTATCTCGATATTAATCATGTGTAGGGTGGTATTTTTGGGTCACAAGAATATAATGATCAAACTGAGAATAGTGATGAGAAAGGCGTCCAATTTTTTACATGGAACAAGGGTGAAATGATCAATAATATGAACAATGATCAAAATCAAGTGAAGTGGATGTCTTCGAAGATGAGAGTAATGCTTAAAATGAAGAAATCTGATCCTGTGAATCTAAATACTTATAGTTCAACTACTCAACACGTAACGAAGCTTGAAGATCATAAACTACCGAATTCGATAGAAGAAACTGACAATTCAAGCAATAGTACTTCTTCAAACAACAATATACCGATTAGGGTTTGTTCGGATTGCTGCACGACCAAGACTCCTCTATGGCGAAGTGGGCCTCGAGGTCCTAAGGTACATACAGTCGTTGAATTGAATTTTTAATCTCTTCTTTATTAGGTAATTGGCACTTTCTTGATTATATATATTATTATATATGTCACTAGACTTGCTATCATATAATTTTCTTTTTGTTCTTTGTGTAGTCGCTTTGCAATGCTTGTGGGATCCGACAAAGGAAAGCAAGAAGAGCATTGGCTGCAGCCGCAGAAGCTGAAAATGGTGATAGCAATGTATCGATCGATCAATCGATCACCAATCGGTTAAAGGTTAAAAAAACTCAGCACAAAGATCACAAGAAACCAAGTAACGGGTATGTTGCAAAGCTCAAAAAACGGAAATATTCCAAGCATATCACTACCACCACCCCAACACCATCGCCGTCGCCGTCGCCATCTACATCACCACCACCATCACCAGCAGCATCGCCATCTTCATCCTCACCGCCAAGAAAGAATTGCGTGGAGGAGTTTCTAGTAAGTTTGAGCAAGAACTTGTCGTTTCATCGTGTCTTCCCACAAGATGAGAAAGAAGCTGCAATCCTACTAATGGCACTCTCTTGTGGCTACGCTCATGAAACCTGAAAGTTTTCAGTTTTTGTTTTAAACACGTGAGTTATAGGGATTTAAAACTTGTGCTTGGAAGGGTTATACCTTCGTTTTTTATTTTATTCCATTAGCTAACTGTTAGTGATTTGTGAGGAGTGAATGTGTGTGATCAGTTGCATGTTTTTTTTATAAGAATATATAATGGAGATGTTGATAACAAAAAAAATTACGGATCTCAATCTTCTTCATTTTTTTTTTTTTTTCGTTTTTTTAGAACGGCAATATATGCCTTAATTATGTGATTGCTTTTGAGACATGTAAGAAAATAAATGAATATGATGATTTAGGGTTGCAGAATGTTTCAGCAAAAAAAGGGTAGAAAGCTGATAAAGATGATTCAGAAGTAGCTAGGGCTAAAACTAGTTTCCAGGCTACTCTCTCTCATGTTGCAGAAAGAAGACATAATTGTTAAAGTATGTGTTTTTTAGAGGGAGAGAGAGACAGAGACAGAAAGTGAACTTTTTGTTGCAGAAAATGCCTGCAAATGGTATCACGAGAAACTATGCAGCAAATGGATCATAAACACTTCAATTTGCAAGCAACGACCTACATGTCGGTTGGGGTTGCTAGCATCTCACCTTGAGTTCGAATCTCTTGGTAAAAACACAGAGTTTATATAACCGGTTAAAACCTGTAATATTGCATGTTATAATATAACTTAAAATATAGATTGAATTGCAATATCTTCTATATAGTTAGATATAATTAATACAAGGTGTGTCTCATGTGAATCTATTGTTTATCAATATAATTCTACATAATACTATAATTTTTAATCAAAATTTAAAGGTCTATTATATAACAATCAGATCAAATAAATTATCAAATTCAAAATTTATTTTATAGAAAAACATCAAAAATCCTTAAACTTTGGTTTTATATATGAAAAATCCATGACTTTATTTTTTTACTAGAAAATAACAAAAAAACACCGGAGATTCTTTACATATTTTAGATTTTAAACGGTAAAAAACTCTTATCCAGTTGCAATAGTTATTTCGGAAATAAAACAATTTCTCCAGCTGGTCTGGAAACAAAATGATTTTTAGTTGTTTTTTTTCGTAAAAAACATTATTTCTATAGATTATAGGGAATATAATAAGAACTTTCACCCGTAATATTATTAACACCACAAAACCACCTACACAAATCTATATGATTCAATGAAAAAAAAAAAAAAAAAAAACTTTTTTTTATATAGGCATACTCTGTATAGCTCAAAGTGCATATGCATTACGCATATTCCAAAGTTTGATTTGTAAAGTGTAATCTTATTGTTTTTGCTCATTATTTTTCTGTTCAAAGTCGATTCTTGTAAAGTAAATAAGATACTTAAACATAAATTTTAACTGTCACAAAATCAAAGACATACTAGACTGGGTATTGCACCATCATATTTTTTTAACAGCAATAGAGTTTATTAGAAACAAAAATAATTAAAATACGGAAATATGGCAAAAATACAATGTAAATAAACTACAAAAGAAAACTATACAATGAATACGAAAAGTAAAAACAACCTCAGCCCCACACATCAAACCATAAGACAACAAGAACAATGAACTTACAACATTACTACACTAAAATACGATAATACTGTGGAATTAATACAATAATATGAAAATAAAAATGGAATTATTACACTATATATATATTTTTTTAAAAATACTTATTTATGAATTATTACTTAAAATCTTGAATACGGTGTACCTTACTCATCAAAAACTTAATCCTTCACTGATGACTCCTTGTTACTCAAAAAGACCAAAGACATGAGATTACTCAGGGTGCGTTTGGTTGTGAAAAATTTTCCAGTTTTCTAGGAAAATTTTCCAAGAAAAACGGAAATTATGAAAATGCGTTTGTTTCCTTCAGTTTTTCAAAAATTTTCAAGAAAATGAAAATTTTCAGTTTTCCAAATTGTATGTAAATTAGAAAAGTGATTTTTACAGTTTTTCAAAGTTTTCCAAATTTCTAAGATGGAAAATGAAAACTCCCCCGGTTTCAACCAAACGCGTTTTCTAAAATTTTCATTGAAAATTGAAAACGAAAACTCAACTCTATTTTCTGAAAACATTTTCTTAGAAAATGAAAACAGTTTTCCACAACCAAACACACCCTCAGTATTCCCAACACCCCAGCACACCACTAACCCACTGACGCAAATTAACCACCGATACACCTACGCTCCACCGACCAACCAACCTTTGTCGCTCCAGCCCTAAGTCACCATCTCCTGTCGGTAAGTACCAGATTCCAATTTGTTCCTAATTACATTGCTTATGATTTCTTGTTTTCTTCCTAATTGCTTGTGTGTTTGACTGTTTTTCTATTTTTCTTCCTAAATTGCTTGTGGATTTAACTGTTCTTTCTAAATTGCTATTGTATTTGACTGTTTTTCTTCTTGATATGTTCTTATGCTTGATTGTTTGTGTGTTTGCATTTAACTGAAATGTATGGCCTATTTTACAGATTCAAATTGGTGATTATAGACGACTATCCGTCCTAATTGTCTGGAACCATAACCAACCAATGTTGGAATATTGGAACCGAAACAGGAACCCAATCTTTAAATTTTGGAACCGGTACCCGTTTGCTAAACTTTTGGAATTTTATTAACCATTCTGTCCATTCATACGGTAATCGAAATTTAATTTTTTAACTGAAGTTGCTTCCGATAAAGAAGAAAAGACATACAAACACAAAATAAAGATGATGATACAAATAAAATATTTAATGCCCAGTGGACTTCATGTTTACGTTTTACTTGAACAAATATACATGTATAAGAAATTAATCACTTGTTTTATATATGAGAACTTAAGTATAATAAATAAACCATAAACGTTTGCCGATATGGGATGTGTTATCTCCAACAAATAAACTTCGACTCTTCTTTCTTATATTCCTTTATTTTTGGAATGTTAAAAGATATAAGATAAAATTTAATCAGAACAAACTGTTCATTCAATAATAACTTTTCTTGCTATTCAAAAATAATAATAATAATAATAATAATAACAATAATAATAATAATAAATGTTTTTTATTTTGAAAATCGGTGTTTGTAAACTACGTTTTAAAAAAATAGCTTTGGTGAATCGTTATCATCTAATAACAACATATTTGATGAATATATTATTTTCAAATTGCTTTGTTCATGTACTCTTCGTTGTGACTTAGATGTAATATCCTCGTAGATGTTTAGTCCATCTATTTTACGATGTTTTTCCAAAAGAATTGGTACTTAGAAGGAAAAGAACTAAGTTTATGTAGTAACATTAGAATAAAACAAACATTAATACAAAATACCAAGAATGTATTCAAATATTTAAGTTCATTTATTATAAATAAAACGTATTATTTATATATAAAAATAGTTGGTATCCAACCCTAAAGGAGGTTCCAGTGGATAACGGTTCAAAGAAAATGAGAACCGAAACTAGAACCGGTCCTTTGTATTTCCCACTTTTAGGAACCGGAACCAGTGACATTGATTTTGATTCTGAAACCAACAGTTCCAATACAATTCCAGTTCCAAAAGCAAATATACGTTATCTGTGCTCACTCTTAGTTACAACAACCATTAATCCACGAATATGACATAAGCTTGGATCTCATTTTTAAATGAGCACAAGACTTTATTATTTTTTTCGAAACAACAAAGCATTATTTTCCATTACTTAGTTCACTATTTTATTGTTTATAACATCTAACTAGGTGTGAGACCCGTGTATTACACGGGTTGATTTAAAAAAAGATTAAACATTAAAGTGTAAACATAAAATATTTTTTAATGTACAACTTTAAAATAAGAAAGGAATAAACGTATTTATTGCAATTTAATATCATATATATGATATTTAATACTTTACATATATAAGTATATGGCTTTAATTTTAAAAATTGAAACAAACCAAAAATTGAAAAGTAGATAATATTTATTTCAAAAATACCACAAAATGACAAGTGTCAAAACTCATGAAAGATTTACATATGGCAAAAAACCTTCATTTATTAAGGAGGATTTGTAAGTTGTTTTTCTCGTAAACTCATCATTAAGTAGTTGAATTAGATATGGTACATCAATTAATAAAGATATCGGGAAATGAAACCATTTGTTTTTTTCTATTTTTTTGGTAAATCTAATCTACTCCTAAATTACTTTTAATTACATGTATGTCTTATATAAGACTTGAAACCTCGACCTCAAGAAGGGAGACAACATCAAATATCGTTGGGCAAGAAGTTCAAATGAAACCCTTTGTGCTAGTTTGTAAGTATAATATCTTAGTAAAAATCATAAATAATTTATAATGATGATATAATGTGTGGAGGATAGTGGTCTTCCATAAACTTTTTCAATCTTGAAAGAACACTTAGATGCTTATTTCTCACATCCAGCCTGAACTAAAGGTTAATTATATCAAAAAATACATATTTGATTTTGGAGTGGACAATTTGGAAATGTCGGATATAGTATTGTAAGGGCATCGTGGTGGTATGCATTTTAAGGGTTGTTATTATGGATATACAATGTGATATTGTACGGTCTTGTTATGGAGGTTTTTGGTTCAGTGACACGTTTAAGAATGGGTATTCCTAGGAAAGCATATGATAAACAAGACTGAACTTTTCTCATCCACTATCATCTTGACCATTTCTTATCATGCTGAGGACACAATATAACTATGGTTTTATAAATGTCTTTCATATGACACTAAATGATGCAACATATATATGTGAAGGCATCTATAGTTTTGTCTTAGATTGGGCTATTTGACAAGGAATACCCTGGACCTGATATCATTATAAAGAAAGGTCAATCGTATTTCGAGGGTTTGCATGGGAAACCGCTTTGACAGTCAATTATATTTGAATTGAAGTAAGGGATGTGAGAGTAGTTTGGGAAAAGTGCTTTTGGTGGAATCTTATTACTTAGTAATGGAGAAACTTTGTGTCACACCCCCGAACTAGACGGCGGAAACGTCTGAGGGCTCATGTGACTTAAATTGAAATATCATCACAATGATTATACATGAAACATAACATAAACATCACCATGCATCAATATATTACAACTGACATTGTTCACATCAAGTACATTGTTTTACATTACATAATCCAAAACATAAATTGTTTGATGATTGACATTACACAAAAGAAATTTCGA